GGTGTGGTGTGGAGAAGGGCGGTTTTTTTTTGGAAGAAGGTTTGAAATGGGCCTACCTTGTTTTGTAGAGCTCGGGTCACCTAGGATCCCTTCTCGAGTCCCTAGATATGACAAGAGTGCTGCCTTATAATACCCTAAACCCTCAACCCTAAGGCCCTAAGCCCTGAACCCACTTATGAGGATCCAAAGTGGGACCCTAGTTCTAAACCCTAAACCCTAAGCCCTAAACCCGAACTTATGGGGATCCAAAGTCGATGCCTCTTTTGGCCTGCAACACTAAACCCTAAACCCTAAGCCCTATAGGTTTAGGGTTTAGGTTTTAGGGCGGTTTAGGGTTTAGGGTTTAGGGGTACTAAGCCCTAAACCCTAAACCCTGAACCCTAAACCCCGAGGAGCTGCGATGAGATTCACATCATCTCATCTGGCACTTGCTCCTTGGCCCCAAGCCCTGAGTCCTGAGCTCAGGGTCTCGAACCCCAAGTGCGGAACTGATTTTAGGGTTTAGGGTTTAGGGTTTAGGCGGGATCTGAATTTTGTTTGGACCTGTTCCTTAAAGGAACCATCATGAAACAAGAGTCTATACTTTTTTCTTGGCTGGTCACTTCAAAGCCCAGATTGGCTTGGAATTAACCCAAAACCCTAAACCCAAAACCCTAAACCCCTAAACCCTAAACCCCTAAACCCTAAGCCCTAAACCCTAAACCCTAAACCCTAAGTTAAGGCTCGCTCGGGCTATCGGGGTGCGGAACGATTTCGCGAACACAGGGCTCGGAACGGGTTTAGGGCCTAGGGTTTGGGGATTAGTAATCAGTTGAAATGTGCATCGGCCCCTTTGACCCAGTCTCCCCCCATGTGGTGACCGGATCCCTCATGTGAGAACCTTTTCAAAATTTGAATCTGACACGTGCAGATTCTTTCCAATGAACTGGTTTCTCCATCTCAGAGAATCCTTCTCACAGCCTGCATTCCGCACGTGCACATATCTCGTGTGAACGAGTACACAGTCCTTTAATGCCTGGAGAACTCAAAGCTCTAATTCCTTGTAATTCCGTAGGCCCTTGACCCTAAACCCGAAATCCCTAAACCCCTAAACCCCTAAGATTGTAAAACCCTGCAAACAAGCCCTTCTAAACCCTAAGTAAGCCCTAAACCCCAAAACCTCTAAACTTGAAAAGCCCCTACAAGCAAGCAAAAGCCAACAACCTGCCTAGACCCTCCATCTACCCTCTAAAGACCCTAAATACCCTTAATTTGGGACCCATATACCCCTATTTGAGGGTACTTGGAGGGTCCTGGTGAGCCGCCAAGTCCTGAGAGGCTTCCGACCGGTCGAGCACGATCACTTGCTGTCAAGCCTCCGTGCTTCGGCGCTTGCGAAGATGGTTTAGGGGTCATACTGTTGATGATCAAAATCCTGCATTACCTTAAGGACCCTAAACTATGGGAATTATGGTACATTCCTTATTATGGGTAATGCAGGATTTTGATCATCCACCGTAGAGCTCATAGGCCTGGGGTTGAGGGTATGGGGCTTTGTTTAGGGTTTAGGGGCTTAGGGGCTTTGGGGTTTAGGGTTTAGGGTTGGTGGGCCTTAGTCTCAGGTCTTGGGTTGGTGGCTTTAGTTTCAGCTTTGTGTTCAGTGTGCAAGGGTACAGGGTTTTTGGGATTTGAGGGCCAAGGCCTTCGGGCTTAGGCCCAGAGAACCCAATACTGCTCAATTAAGGAATATACCTTAAATCATAATATTAAGACCCCTATAATTTAAGGTATATTGCTTAATCAAGGGGTATTGGGCTCTCTGAGTTATAGAACTTGCTAGCCCCGCTAAGCAAGCCCTATAGGCCATTGTATACAACCCCTTCAACCCCCTTGTAGAACTCGCTATCGGCGTCCCAGGCAGCTGTGGTGTTGAATGCGTTCACGACCGAGGATGGCAAACCAGCTTTAGATTGAAGCTTGATAGGTAAATCGGGTTCTACCGCACAGAAAATTGGGCTCTAAACCCTGAACCCTCAGCCCTAAACCGATATCCCTGTGGTCAAGTAAGTCCCTACATAGTTGTGCTATAATCGACCGCCAATGTATGAAGGCCCCTAAACCTTATAGTAACCCTTGTAGGCCCCTTTTGAAGAGCCCTTTGAACAGGAAGCCTATTTGGGTTTGGGGTTGAGGGGTTTAGGGTTTAGGGCTTGAGGGGTTTAGGGTTTAGGTTATGTAGACGAGGCTCTCTGGAGCTGCATTAGGCTTTCGGGACTTGGAAGGCGCATCTTTCGGTGTTTGTTCTCGAGCTGCCCGCGCGAAAAACGTACCGAGTCTAGTGTGGGAGTTTGGAGCTTGGAGTTTATAAACAGGTTTTCAGGGTTTAGGACGTTTTTAGGGCTTTAGGGTGTTAAAGCTTCGGGGCTTACGCCGTACTTAGATAGCCACAGGGAGAACTTTAATTGTTTTCGGCCTCTATATTGAGTCGTTCTCAGACTTAGAAAGTTTGAACTTCTTTGGGCCCTGCTATTGAAGCCTAAACCCTAAACCCTAAACCTTAAACCCTAAACCCTAAACTTTAAACCCTAAACCCTAAACCTCGCGTCTTCGCGAGGTCTTCTGCCGGTCGTTCACAGCTCTAGACCGCTCATAGCAGACCTCGTGAAATGTCATGGCCAGCGAGCGACGGCAGCCAGTCATTTACACCTGCGCAATGCGTGCTGTCCGCGATCTATGCCAGAATCGCAGCGCAGGAACAGGCGCAGCAAATGCGCCTGTACTCCTTGCCACCGGTGTCTGGACCCCGCGGACACTTCCTTGGTTCCGGCCGCCTCTTGGCAAAGCGGCCACCCCCTGCTCGGTCCTCAGCTCCCCCGGCAACTTCATCTGCATCTACAGCGTTTCATCGTCGCATCCTGAGTCAGGCAGATCCGAATCCCGCCGTGGCGAGCAAGGCTTGTCCAAAGGCTGGCCCGGTGCCCCCGGCGGCCCCCCACCGTCTGCCAACTACGAGTGGAATACGTGGTCTTCTTCGACAACAAGCTGGAACAACGAACCTCGTCGTCGTCAACAGTGGTGGGATGGACCTGGACACTGGCAACCTGGTGATGATGGACAATGGGACGGCAACCAGCAGTGGCATGAACCAGCACAATGGGGTGGTGGGGGTGGTGGGAAGGTCATCAACCAGGGCAACGACAGTGGAACGACAATGGGTGGCATGGACAACAGAGGTGGAACAACCCACGTGAAGGACAACAAGCCCAAGGTGGAAACAGGGATGCCTCTTCCTCTGGTGACCCACGTGAGAACAGCCGTGGTCGTGGAGCAACTCCTTCATCTTCGAGCACCTTGCCCTCGAGACCACCAGATGGCGCGTCGACTGACTACCTGTACATGCCGGGATGGGGACGTGGAGCCCCGCTACAGCCAGTTGATCGCCGAGCCCGTGGATTCTTTCGCAATGGCGAGTGGATGGATAGGGTTCGCAATGACCTCGAAGAAAGGTGGCAACGGGGCGGCGGGGGTGAGACACGGACCGCGAGAAGGGGTGACCGCTCGAGACAACTACAGGATGGGTCGTTCCGCCCTGCTGCCTTCTGGCATGCCTGGAGCCAAGGTAGCAGCTACAGTATCGATCCTGATGCTGCTGCCTCTGCCAGGCGCGCCTTGAGTATGGGACATGTGGTGCCAACGACATCGGCCTCCCGTACCTCTCCTCCTGTTGGGTCGTCACAGCAGTCCAGCAGTACTCGTGAAGAAGGAGGCTCACAACCCCGCTGGACCATGGAGCAATGGCGAGACTGGGATGACTGGGACCGTGGGACTCAGACTGAGGCGGCAGCTGCTGACGAAGTTGCAGTAGACTGGTCTGAACCTGGACTTCCAGGCCTCGAAGACTGTCGTCGCTGCTGGATGGCTTTGTGGTCATCGGGAAGTTCAAGTTCGCCGTCTACGACTACCACGTTCTGTCCGTCGTGTAAAGCTGACCGCGACTACAGGCCCGAGGGGTGCTCTACCTCTACAAGTTCCCCGAGTTGCATTACGAGCTCCTCTACGTCCTCCTCGACTACTTCCTCGCCGACAAGTACAACTGGCTTTGGGGTGAGTGCTACCACACCGGCCTCTGGTGCTTCAGCCGACCAGCCTTCGGAAGACTTCCCTGCTGAAAAGGATGAGGACATTGTGAACCTCATGCAGAATAGCGCTGCTTCTTCCTCCAGCGCAACTGATGGAGAGGCTCGGGATGGTCCTGCACAACAGGAGGATCGTGAACCTCGTCCTGGGATGGGCCCATGGGAGCTCATGGATGGAGAAAGAGCTGACTTGCTTGCTTTGGGATGGGATGATCAGATGGTGGCCGACTTGTCGGACATGCTGGACTTCCTTCGTGAACTCCGCGACCAAGGAGGTGCAGAGGCCGTTGCCTGGGCAGTTGGACGCTGGGCGGCAGGGGGTGTACAAGCTGACGTGGCGGTGGAAGCTGTAACAGACGTAGTGTTGCGGCGTCTTGCTTTTTGTGCTGAACAGTACCCAAGCGAGTACCAAGTCAGGGGACGTCTCTGTGTAGGTCTTGCCGGTTTTCAACGCCAACTTGGAGAGTTCCACACAAGGTTTGTTCAAGAAGCATGGGTTGGTGCACCTACAGCCAACACCGGCGAGCCAGTTGGGACGGCTCTCAACGCTGGCACGTCGGCGGACTACCTTCGCGAAGCTCGTGACCAAGGACGACGTGGACAAGTTCGGGGGCGTGCTGAAGTACCTGAAGGTGGAGATGATGAGTTGGAATCTGGGATGGATGATGGAAGCTCGCTGATGCAGTTGACTGTTGAGGAGGAGGAGTTGCTAGCCAGGCATGAAGTGGACGACAGACTCAGGGGTGCCCTCCGCGAGTTGCTTCGAGGTCTTCGCAGCCAGGAGGACAGAGGAGTTGGGGCGGAGTACCGCTGGGGCATCGACCAAGTCCTCGAAGCTAGTGGGGTGGCACACACTGCTTGCGGGGTGATCACGAATATCCTCAGGGCACGCACGATGCCCTCCTCGGCGATGCGTTGCTGGCCGTCACAGAGGATTCCCCCGTTTGGTCCCCTACGCTCGCGGGTTGGTGAGTACATGAACCAGTACAGACAGCTCCTTGTGAGCACCTTTGACCGCGAGTTGGGGCGTGTACTACGTGAACTTGTGGGATGTCCAGAAGCGGACCTTGTTCATGGGCCCTGGCCGCAGCGGGGTGGTGATCTACGCGAACACACTCGTGCACCTCCTCGCGGTAGTCGGTCACGCTCGCGCACACCAACTCCTGAAGTTCGAAGGAGTGGACTACCTGCTACTGCTGCTCAAGTTCCTGCGCGTGCCCGCCCACGTCAACTACGTTCACTGCACCAACGGGGTGACGCAAGTCTGGGCGCTGAGGACGCGAGTGTAACGGACGCTTCGACTGCTCCTGTCCTAAGTGGTCACGCCCTACCCTCTGCGCTACCTGTCCTAAGTGGTGACGCCCTACCCTCTGTGCTACCTATTCAAGCTCCCGTGGCTGGTGGTCCTCTTCGTGCTCCAGGCGCTACGAGCTCCGTGTCTCCCGCTGGGACGGCGCAGCCAGGCACTGGGTTGGACGCTCTACGCCCTGCGCTCCCTCTTCGAGCTCCTGCGGTGAGTACTGGAGCAGGTGTGCCGTCTCTACTTGTTCCGGTTGCTGGGGTGGCCTCTGTCGACGCGGCGATGGAAGAAAGTGCTGCTCGCGCTCCCTGGGCCGGTGGTGGTCCGCTTCTTGTACGTGCCCCGGGTGCTGAAGAGGGTGTCCCGGCTCTACCTGTTCCGTTGGTGGGGGTGACCACTGTGGACGCGTTTGCTACGGAAGGGGCCGCGCCTGTTACACCGTCAGGGCCTCTGGGTTGTGCTACCTCAACGCCTGCAGGGGTGTCGTCGTCTGCGGAGAGTCCCGACGCTCTACGTCCTGCACTACCTGCTTGCGCTACCTTGGCCGGTGGTCTTCTTCCTGTACGTGCTCCGGGTGCTGAAGAAGGTTCGCCAGTCCTACCTGTTCCGGCGACTGGGGTGCCCACTGTTACCGTGGCTGAAGAAGGTGAGGCTGTGCCCGTTACACCTTTGGCACCTCTGGGGGATGTTGACGCGGCTTCTGCTACCTCTTCGCTTGCTGGGGTGTCGTCGTCTACAGTGCCAACAACCCTGACTTCTGAGACCTCTGAGCAGTGAGTGAGGGTGTCTGACTGGTGTGAGATGTCACGTCTTGTCACTGTCTTAGTCAAGGGGTGAAGCTCTGTCTGCGCTTTGGGCGGGATGTTTAACACTTCTGCCTGTTTTGAGAGCCGGGAATATCCCGGCCTGTGGCCTTTTCAGCCACTGGGGTGAGCCTCTATGAGGCGGGCGCGTACTGCTGTGCGAAAGGCCGACACTCCCTTAAAAAAAAACCTTAAACCCTAAACCCTAAAACCCTAAACCCTAAAACCCTAAACCCGAAGGCGAGAGTTTAGGAGTTCCGTAAAGCCTCGGACCTGAAGCTGCTGTGTGGACCCAAAGATGCTTCGTCTGACTGGTTCTCAGTAGGGAATGGGGGAATGGGTTATTGGGACTACTATAGGGGACTTTAAGGGACTATCATAGGGATCCATGCCCCCATCCCTACTAAGAATCAGGGAGTCGTTTCATCGCGGGAATTCGGTCTGACCTGGGCCTTTCGTACTAGAGTCGGTTTCGGGTTTACGGTTTAAGGCTGCTCGAGTCGCTCATCCCATCACCCCGATCGTTTAAACTACCTTAACAGGGAATACGCCTTAAATCTTGTGAGGGATCCTACTGTATTTTCAGGTATATATCCTTAAAATACAGGGATGTTGGAGGATCTGGGATTTGATTTGGGGGAATCGGACGTAGCGGTTTCAGCAAGCGAGGTCCATCAGTCGCGCTCTTGGGTTTTCATGCTTCGATTGGTGTGTTTGAAGCCCTAAACCCCAAACCGGCCAAACCGGGTTTACGATTTCGTGGTCAACAGATCGTAGTTTTCGTGGCTTCGACGTATCTTTGACAGTCTAGCCTGACGAAACAAATGGCTTGCGCAATCGTGGAATGCTGGCGTCACGAGGTTGTTTCTTTCGCAGGACTTCGGTGAGTGTATAAAGGGCTCCTTGGAAACTTTGGTGAGTGCTTACCGGAAGTGCTAGGTCCCTGACCCTGTGCCACAAAGTAGATGTGACTGCAGGATCAGGAATATGCCCTAGGTCGAGAAGATCGAAAGCTCTCTTGCCATGACTTACCATTCTTCCCAACAAAGCAAGTATATAGTGTGATTAGTGACCAAGATATACTCCCAAACCATGTAGGAATGATGTCGGCCCGCGTCCTAGAGCTGAAGGACACGAAGTTATGTATTCTCGGGGCCTAACTTTTTATAATTGCCAATATTATGCTTTAGCGTTTCTTATAGATATTCTATGAACGAGCTCAAAGACCCTATTCTAACGATTAAGGCCCCTATAGCATGGGGGCGGAGCACCCGATTTGAACCTGACAAGCACAGCAGAATCTCCACATACCTGCACGACAGCCTCACTCCATCAACTGGAAACCTCCGACACTCAAGCTGCAGAAGCCTTTAAATCTCAAATTGAGCCAAAAGCATATATGCTGAGCTGCTGAACCCAGAATCCAGAATGTAAAACCCTAGGCCCTAGACCCCGTACCCGACAGATGAACAGTTTCATGCATTGAATATGGAATCCCTAACCCGGAGGTCATAAGCCCTCAAGTGGACAGTCTTTTGCCAGGATGTCTCCAAACTCCTCCTGGCCGTCGCCAAAGCCAAATCTGCCGAAGGAGGTGCGGGGTGATTTGCAGACGAGGAGCCGTTTTGAATTTGGATGTATAGAGTATGAGCGGCAAAAGTGTTGCTGTGCATTGGGACTGCGAATGAGAATAGGTTCAATGCGACTCGCATTGGTGGTAATATGACATTTTAGAAATGCAGTAGTACTACTTTTCACTGTAGTGAGTGCAGGGAGATTGAGCTTAGCAACGGCAACAGCGGCAGCCAACAAATGATGAGACCGTCAGCGGAGGCAGTACCACCCTCGCTGCTCGGAGTCATGAATAACGAAGACGGCATAGACACACTGAATACGTGTGGCACAGGAGCAGCAGCAACCATGCGCTCTTGGTCAGCAGATTCCTGCCTGACAGAGAGCACACTCTACATTCAGAACCCCTGTCATGTATACACCCGAAAACTTGCAGAGGCCCTGGCATTTCGGAGCTCTACACACGTGCCGCAGAGGCCATGCTTTAGCCGTGTTCATGGCCTCAGGCATGAGGGTCTGCTTTCAAGGGGCTTACGGACGTAAAGGAAAGTTTTCAGAGCCTAAACCCTACACCCATCTAAACCCTAAGCCCTAATGGGAGTGTGGGCTGCCAGCTGGAGGATTCAGGCTTGAGGGATGTGCTTTTGAGGCTTCCGGGTGATAGGAGTCCTGCATAGTCCCTAAGCCTTAAGCCAAAAAACCGAAAACCCGAAAAAACCCAAACCCTAAACCCCAAACCCCAAACCCAAATCAAAGGATTTGATGACTGACCTGTTTCAGGCTTGCAAGGCCTAGTTTGCAGATCCAAGGCGCCTTGGAGGTTCATGAGTAGAGTAGGGTATAGGGTTTAGTAGCTTAAGTCTTTGGGCCAGTTACACGCGAGGTTATAAATATAAGTCCGCTAATATGGGTTACAATTATAGTTACCCTCCTGATAAACCCGACTTATGACTACCTGCGAAACTCCAAGCAATATGGAAGCTTGAACTAAGTAATTACCAATACTCTCCCTGAGGGTTCCTGAGTCTATTTCTACTACATAATGTGCCCACAACCCCATTCCAATTGTTAAGGCCCTTATATTGGTTCGACGTGTTTGTTCAAGGGCGTTTAAAGCCTATAGGTCCTGAATCTGTGTGGGTGCAGTGTGGGGATTGCCACTCTCAGGTTCAAGGACTCTGTTAGAGGCTCGGGGCTCGATTTCTGGTTCAGGCTTTAGGGTTGGGGGTTTAGGGCCTAACGGTTTAGGATTTAGGGTGTTAGGGTTTAGGGATCTTGGCTCCAGGAGTTCAGAACAGTCGGCTTAGCATCCCTAATAACACAAGCCGAAGCACAGTGGCGGCTTGTTGAACCAAGACCCTTTCCTGCACACGCAGTCGGCCAAACCTTCAACTTGATTCCTACCCGGACCCTAACAAGCTTACCTTTTGCAGGGCTTAGAAGGAACTCATAATAACGAACTGTGGAAGGGTAACTTGTTGAAGGTTCAGGAAAACCCTAAAACCTAAAACCCAAGCAGGTGATACCGCCCAAGCTCGCCGAGCTGTCACCTGCGCAGCTCATCAAGGCCCCACATGTCAAACGTGTTGACTTGGGGCTTAGCTAAGGGATACGGGGATAACCCAAGAACCCAAACGTGAAGACAATCTTACCTATTCATGCTCGGGGGATTAATTCTTCCCGGGCTTTCTGGGGCATTCTCTGCATCGGCCGAACACTTGCATTTTCCATGGCATCTGTTTGCATTTTCATATCTCATATGTGTATTTATAATATCTTTTATACATACATATTATACACAAATAATAATGACAGAGGTGGGGCCTTTGACAGTGCTGTTGTCGTGCACGACTTGTCTGTCATTACTGAGATTTTCGTTTGGTGCTCTCTCGCTCTCTCTCTCGCTCTCTCTCTCGCTCTCTCTCTCGCTCTCTCTCTCTCTCTCTCTCTCTCTCTCTCTCTCTCTCTCTCTCTCTTTGCTCTCTGCTCGCTCCTGTCCGCACCCGAGAAGGCTTGCAGACTCGAAACTGACAAACTTCATGTACAGGGGTCGTCTCTCCAACTGCTGGGCGGATGAGATGTTCAGTTGATGCAAGCAGCCGTGGCCATTTTTTGCCCCACGGAGCCAAGTTGGGCTCAAGCACATAGCCATGACTGAACCCAGCACTGACTTGCTTCGAACTGCCGGATCTGGGTGCACTGCTGATGAGTTGCAGCAGCTGCTGGCCCAGCGTGCGGACATCCATGCCGAGACGGATCGTGGGCAGAGTCCCTTGCAACTGGCTGCCAAGGCTGGGGAGCATGGTTTAGATAGAAGCCTACATAATTACGAACATTATTCTTAAGGGGTCCTTATCATAGCTATACACTATAATCACTATAAAGGAGCCCAGAACCCTATTCAAATCATTAAGGCCCCTACATTATCACCAAGGAGCCTTAGAGAGTGCATTGCTGAACGAGCCACAGACGGGCTACAAGATTCTGCCATAGCTCCCATCAACATGCATGACCATGCATGTTCGTCCCACAAACTCTTAGAGGCTGAGTAGGTAACCTTTAACCTTTTGGGGCTTAT